TTCCCGGCCTAGTAAACCATGTGATTATCAGATTCAAAATGGCCAAATACCAATCCACTTCAGTTCACTAATGTCTAAGATATCAATTTTGATGTGTTCCATTTCATTTTTGACAACTTCCAATTTCCCTAGATTTTACATGCAAGCCATCACAGTACAACACACTGACAGACATGGTGGGATAGGGAACCCTAGGGACAGTAACTAGATGCTAATGGAGGAAGTTAATGGAGGAGGACCATCTCAGAAAAGGAGGGTGAGAATGGTTGCACAACTCAAAGAATTTCATCAGTGTTGCTAAATGGTACAAGTAGAAACTTGAATTTGTGTATGCTTTACTGTGTATATTCTCAACAACAATAACAAAGTCATTTCATAAGAAAGCTATATGGAACACAAAAAACACATTTTTCAGAGGTATGTAAGTATATAGAGATAAAAGTTTATTAGGGTTACCAGGGGCAGGCAGGAGGGTGGGGAAGAAGAAGACATAACACTGATGGGGTGCAAAGCTTCTGTTAAAGGGTGATGGAAAAATTGGGGAACAGTTAGTGATGATGGTTGAACAACATGATGAACATATTTAATTGTCACTGAACTGATAATGTGAAGATTGTTGAAAAGGCAAATATTTTGTTACCTATTGCTATGAGTTGGTACTGACTCAATGGCACCTAACAACAACAACAACAAATATACTTACCATGGTGGCACTGTAGGATAAGCACTCCACTTCAAGGTCTGCTTGAACCACAGAGTTGGTGTTCAAACTCACCAGCTGCTCCTCAGGAACCCTTTGCAGAGTCGCTATGAGTCTGAACTGACTCGACAGCACTTAACAACTTAACCAGAAATAAACTTCCCTTAATTTTTTTAATAGAAAAAGTTTCTTTGAGATGAGAGTTGAAGTCATAACAATGAAGGAGCTCTCTAAAGGCAAGAGTAAAGAAAAGAACACAAGATCAGAGTACACTTTAGAAGTGAGAGTAGAAAGAAAAGACTGCAAAATAAATTAAGGCAACTGTAAACGTTAAGCAGCAGTTTAAGGTAGCTCTGGTGGTGCAGTGGGTTAAGCATTGGGCTGCTAGGAAAAAGATGGGGCTGCCTGCTCTAGTAAAGACTCGGATAAATGTACCTCCCTTACTCACCTGCCTCTCTGATCCAAACTTTACTCTTCCCTAGGCTGTGAAGCTTCATGGACGTGTTGACATCCTGGTGTCCAATGCTGCCGTCAATCCTTTCTTTGGAAACCTAATGGATGCCACTGAAGAGGTGTGGGACAAGGTGAGAGGGGATTAGAGTAGCAGGGGGCAGGCCTCCCAAAGCATACTTCAACTCAGTTTACTTTTAAAATGCATTTGTCCAGTGCAGTGTATATATGAGGTAAATGTGAGTAATCATCACTATTTGTTACACACCTGGAGTGCACCTGATAAAGGTCAAGTAGCGGGGGGGGGCTCTTCTATCCCTGCCCGCCCTTCTATTTCTCCCTTCACACCTCCCAGTGTGGTCTTTCCATGTGCTGCTTGCTAACTGTCTTTTGTTTCCCTCCCCCAGCTCTCACCTCACAACATGCTTATCTATGCTGCTCTTCCTGGTTTATTTCCAGCAGATACGTGGCAGCTAATATGCCAATAACTAATACATTCTTAAACACGCCCACGTGTCTTCTTTTCAACTGCCAAAACAGAATGCTTTTTCATTAGTTGGCAAACTTTAATAGTTGCTAGCTAAGTAAAATACCAAGCCAAAAAACACCCGCTGAAATAGAGTTGGTTTAGAGCGACTAGTGAGTTTGAACCGCTGACCCTTTGGTTAGCAGTCCAATACTTAATCCAATGTTCCACCAGGACTCCTCTGGTGACATAACCAAAGTTTCCATTTTTTATAACATACTACCTTTGAAAAAAGACTTGTACTTTTTTTCTTCTTAACTGTGATGTCAAGGAAGTCTGAGACCCATATGTCTAAATTTGAATGCTGGGACATGGGTTTTTATTAATGTATACTATATATATTCTTATAATCTGTTTCACATACCCACATTATAAAGCCTTAATTAAAATATATCTTTGTTTACTAAGGTTAACATTTTCCCACATGATTTGGGAACATTAAATTTTTTACAACCGTCCATGGTTTTGCATTTACTCTGATATCTTCGATAATTTCCCAACACTGAAGTTTAAAATACTAGAATATTATCAGTGTTTCACAGGCATGAACACCAAAGTGCCAAATTGCTCTTCAGTGAGCCAGTTCCCAATTCTGATATTCTTTAGAGAAGCATCTTTTATGAACAGTCTGAGTAGAGACCATATGAAAATCCATTTTCAGCCCAGTAATTTTTCTTTATAGTTTGCAGTGTTTTAAAATATCACAGATATCAAATATAAATGCAAATAGTTGATCCATGACT